ATGTTCCTTCCCATTGCAGCCGCCGCGACTGCTCGTATTTTTCTACACCGACTTATGGCGCCGGTCGTATGTACAAACAGTATGATTATTTATAATGTCGGTTCAAGACCAGCTTCTTCTGTCAACAGAATAGGAGTGAGTAACGTGCGCGTTGAGATTCCTTACATCACAGAATACCACGAATAATGCATCAGACGGCAAATAGTTACGGTAGAATTCTATCAAAGTGACTGTTTATCATTGCACCAATATTGCCAAATTGTAACTCGACTGTCCAACAGAACTGCAATTTACAGAAAAAATACCAGAGTCGATTACTGGAAATTATTCTAGTAAAACGTTTCACTGCACGCGAAATAGTACCTTAGCGCGTTTTAAATATCCATGTATTCGTTTATTTGTCCTTCCGGAATAGTATCGAGCGAAATGGTTATACCATTTTTATTCCAGCTCGAATGGTAGGATAATCCCTAAGGATGAATATACATGCATGATATAACAGAGCCCCGATGGAAACTGTTCACTGCGTACGTGCAAAGTGCCTCTCTGCCTCCTTTTACCATTATAGAGCAACTTGCATTTCTCTCGGAATAGTATAGCGCAATGTTTTGTTGTAATTTGTCAACTTTCGATTGTAAAATCTGATCAGAAAGACATAACAGGAAGTAACTTGCAATTATATTATAGCGATTAATGAGATACGTATTATTTATATCTGCCAAGGATTTACTGAAATCTGATTTTTAAAAATATCCAAAAATTTCCAAAATTTTCAAGTATTTTATTTTAAATTCCAGGTAAGATTAGAAAAATGTTTAATGGAGCTTTGAAATAAATTAGAGTGTGACGCGAGCGATCTATATACTGAAAATTAAAGACAGGGCTTCCATGAAACTTTATATATAATTTTTTATAATTGTAGAACCGAAACTTATACCTAGAATAGTATAAGAAAGATTCATAACATACAATATATCATTTTAATTTTTTAATCTTAGAATGCCAATACATACATTTTACATATAAATGTCACGCGCTTGTACATAAAATTTATGTATTGATAGCGTTCTAAGGTTAAAAAAATTAGAGTTAAACAGTAGAAGACATTACAAGCGCATAGTATTTGTACTTACAATTGAAATCACTTATCATTTTATTATCGAAAGACAGGATGTTTACTGTCTGGACAAACTGAAATTTTTAGGGAATCTTATCGATAATACTTAATAATATTTTTAGGATTTTAAATTGTTTCAACACGGTCGTGCGATAAGTCTAGCCATCATATTTATCTTTTTTAAAAAGGTAATCTTATAAAGACAATTCTGATCACCAGGACTGTGTTCAGAAATTACACCCAGATAACTCTAAGCTATAGATTATGTATAATATAGCAAAAATGCACTCTAGAGTTATCTAGGCCTAATTCCTGAATGCAGAGAGTTCAAACTGATAACGAACAGAATTTTTAAAAGCTTCTCTTTATTTATCCTAACTTTTGACAAATTGAACTTCTTAGTGAACACTGAAGGCATATCTTAGCACGATGATCTGATCTTATTTAAGTATTATGAGACACACACAATTGGACTACATACTCCATATCGTTTCAACATTGAATGGTAGTGTGTTTATTAATTCTTTCTTTTGAAATTAATAATTATTTATTTGTGTTTATATACAAAGGTCTAAAGTATTTACAAGTATTTAATCATTAAAAGTACGAAGTGTATAAAAAAAACTTATAATAACTATAACATTTATAACTAATCCTGTATCGCTCAATAGTGATAACATTCTAGGATTAATAAAATCTAATAGCGAGACGCATAAGAATGTGCGTGAACATACAGATGTATATTTATTGCTAACCGGTTATAAACATTTTGACATAATCAAGAAAAAACTATCAAAGAAACAATGCTTTTAGAAAGAAAACAGAATTTCAATTTAAAATTCCACAAATGTTTTTTAAGTACCGATAAGATTCTATGAAAATCGATCAATCTTTTTTTTAACGGTTAAAAGAAATTCCCCAAAAATGCCAGTTTGTCCAGATAGTAAACACCCTGACTTGTGTATATTGATAAAATTAAGCCGTGACGAGGAAAAATTCGATTAATCCAACGA